AAGCGCTGACGGGCTTGTCAAGTCCTTGTCAGTTCCCGCTTTGTGATCTGCCGAGTGACAGTGGCCAAGGTGCTGGCCTGGTCCTTAACAAAATCAGATGTTCCCAGTGGGAGTTGCAGCGTTCGCTGGCGCAGCCCCGGTCCTCCCGGAGCCGCATTTCCTCAAACTTGGTGCTCAGCTGTTCTGCGTGATTTGGGATGTGGCTTTCTGCAGCGCCCTGCTGACCTCGGCAGCCAGCGGTCACAAGGCCAGAAATGCGCTTCTACACAGCCGACAGCAGAGCCTGATGTTACACTGCTACCACGTTCATCCCTCCTCCTGTTTTTCTTTAAACTTTTTCATACTGGTTAGCCATTCACCTTATGCTCATTTTTCATTTAGGCATTGTAAATTTAGGATTTATGATTAAAAACAAGTCATGAGACTTCCACCCCACACCTGGCCCTTTCTTTGTCTCTTTCTAGTAAATGCTGTTAGTTTGTACTCGGATCCTTTCAGGGAAATGTCTTTGCTTACCTTGGTGGAGTAATATATATAATAAATAGATGTGATGGACATGTACATTATACAAATGGATAGTTAAGTGCCCTAGATTACTTCATTGAGGCATCAAAATAATGGAGTCTACAGAGAAAGAGTTGACAGACTACAAGACCTGGTCTATGCTTGAAACGTATTGCCCTCTTGTAATATTTCTGGGTGTATTTGGCTGTGTATTTATTTATTCTTAGTTGTCTTTTAATAGGACAGTTGGGATGCACCTACCAATGCCAGCAAATCTTTATATTCATCTATAAGGTTCATTATGCCATGATGGCTGCTAGTAAAGATGAGTTATAATATAGGACCCTTTGATTATCTTCTGTGATTGTAGAGCTTTCCACCTGTTAATTCTTTCTCATGTCCCTTCCTAAATACGCCATTGTTTTGACTATTCGGAGGTGGAAAATAAATTTGGTTTTCTCACATCTGCAAGGCAGTAGCAGTTTGTGTTGCTTGTGCAGAGAACCTGGGCTGACTGAAGGTCCCTTATGCTTTTCATGAGCGTGAAAGCTATACAACAAATACCTTTTAATAACTGCTTGAGCAAACTGCCAAAAGAAGAAAACGAATGTACAGACAAGCACTTCCTTTATTGAGAGTGTAGTGCTGTGCTCTGGCTAGTGACATGCAGTTTGGCAAAGTAGTGTAAATATTTCTAAGAAATGTTTATTGGCAAAGTAATTCCTCATAAATAAACCTGTTGGAAATTATAAGAACATCTTTTTTAAGACATAAATTTCCTAATCATGGAATATAGCGCAGTATTCAGTTGTGTGCTTGCTGTCAGGATGTTAAAGTAAGACACTGAATGGAGGAAGCTTCCTAGTTAGTAATCTGGAGTCTGTCTGCAGTAGTAGGAAACCAACATTTGACATTTGCAGCCTCTTCTGCAGGTAGACAGTTTTGTTAGGGGATGGCGAGGTGCTCATTTCAGGTTAGCTTAGGTAAGAAAGTAGCTAATTTCAATTTAAGAGCAACCTTTTTTTAGGAATAATTATTATGTAAGAAGCTAGAGCTTTCAGATATAAATTCTTTAATGGCAACCAAAAAGATTTGACTCACTGGAGTAAGCCCAGTTGTTAATTACATTTCTGTTGTCTTCTCTAGTGGATCTAATATGTTTAAATTCCCTTTGTTTAATGAAAACAGTGTTCAAATACTGCTTTCCTGTATTGCTAAAGGAACTTCTTTTCCACTCAAAGCTGAATTCAAATGCAAAATTTTTACTCATTTGTAGTTTTAGAATATAATCAAACGCTAGAGTTAATGTGAATACATATCTTTAAGTGCTAAACTACTTGAGTGTATGCATCTGCTTGGCTACAAAAGAAGGTGCCAAGCTGAGATTAAATTAGTCTAAATTGGCGTGCCTCAGTGTTTACTTGCCAGTGTTAGTTAGGCTTTTTGTGTGAATTAAAGCAACTAAACAAAGCCCCAAGAAATGGCAGCAAATGTTACCCTTAGAGGTGCAAAGTCAACTTGAGTTGAAAAATGGTCCACTCAAAAGAGTTCTCTGATTGCTTCAGTGTGGTCCAGCTGATGGACCACGAGCCAAACTCAGTGTGGGGAGTGCTTCCCTCCGACCCACTGCCCCTTCCCAGCCAGAGACTGGAGTCCCTCTTCCAGGGCTAAATGTAGCTCCAAGAGCTGAAGGCCACCAGCCTGCTCACAGTCCAGTCCAGAAACCTGGTGTTGCTGTGGCCACTGCTGCTGTTGTGGGGGGAACAGGAGGGGAGGCAGCAGATGCTGCTTTTGACAGCTTTCACACATCATCATTTGCCGTGTATGTGAGATTCTGAATGCTTACCTTACGGCCTGATAAAAAGCAGTGTTGGACATGTAAGAGCTACCCATATGGTTGAATCTACAAAATTTTTCACTCTTAAAAAAATTATCTCAAACTGGACAACCAAAACTAGCCATTGACTATTTGATTTTTTCCCTCATCTCCAAACTGTGGACAGTAGGAACACTGTGTGTTATGTTTTGCAAAAGTAAATTGTGAAGTGTTGGGATGACATAGTGATAAAAGCCCATGAGATAAGGGGGTATATGTGCGTCTCTTTCGCATTAGCAGAATATTATTAGCATTTTTAAAAAAGATCCAATAATTGTTTGTTACGTTAGAGTTTTTCCATTAACTGCTGAGGTGGATTATGGATTCTAAGTTTTAAATTAATCTTTTGTAACCTATTTAGAGTGAATATGAAGAGGGTGCATGGGTTGAAAGACAGAATGCCGCATAACATTGTTTGGGGGGTTTTGTTTGTTTGTTTTTAAATATTTTTTTTCCTCCATAAAATAGCCCTAAGTCACAGAATTTTCATACGTGCATAACTGTAGCAGAGCACCACTGCTTGCTTGTTTGGTGTTACAGCAAGAAACTTTATGCAGAATTTGTTGAATCTACTATCATCAATTTTGAGTGAAACTTCAAAGGCATAAGATTCATTGTCCCAGAGAGTAAGAGTTGAAATTTAATTACATTTAACGTATCCTAGGGAAGAATATTTCAGCAGTTGCGATACCGTACTCAGTTTGCAAAATCATTGCTCAGCGAGGTGAATTATTGTAAGGAACATGGTCTCTTGGTAGGTGAGTTCTTTCTGCCACAGTATAACTTAAACTGAAGCACTTACCTGAGTCTTTCTGCCAGACCGAATCAACTTGGTTTAGTTAAATATTCTGTATTTTTAGAAACAAGTCAAAATTATTTTTTAATGAGTGAAAGTTTGTGTGAAGAACAAAAAGGACAGATTTTGGTATCCTAGCACAGCTGATGAATTTTATATTTTTTCTGCTGTTTCATATTCAAGGCTTATATGAATCCCATAGCTATGGCCAGAGCACGAGGTCCTGCCCAAACTTCGGGACCAACAATACAAGACTACTTGAACAGGCCAAGACCAACATGGTAAGGGGCAATACTTGTCTGCCCTTCTGACCTCTTGGGTGAAAGATTTGTTCCTTCTTACTAAGATGACACAGTTGCCTACTTCCCCTCCAGAATGCACATTAATACATTTTGAAAGATTCCTTGTCTCTGTTTAAGGTGTTCTTTTATAAATATGGATTCAATCTCATCTTTTTAAAACAATAGTATTTCATTTTGAAAGGCATATTTCTCCTTTGTCTTTAAATGTTTTGGCAACAGTTTCTCAGAAGAGAAAAACATTGGTTATTTTACCTCTTTCACAAATCCTATTACCTAAAGCCTGCAGATATATTTAATTTTTAAACAAAGTAATCTGTAGTAAAACAGTTTGCTGGTATAATCTTAGAGCACAGTTTATCCTACCCAACAAAATCATCACTTTGAGGTATTATCAACAACTTACTTTGCATTCAGTCCAGTTTGCCTCCTCTCACTAAGACATTAGTGACAATTTACCTAATTGCAGTTAACTTTAGGTCTCTCAGAGGGATTTCACTACTGTACTTAAGTTATTAGGGTTAGGTTACCATACACACAACATCTAAGATGCTTTCATTCTTCTTTCTGTTGGAAGTTCAGCCAAAGTTAACCTTCAAAAAACCCTACAAAAAGTTAGACACTGAAGAAGTATGGTTAATTGTGAAAATTGTGTTCTTTCATTCTTTTTTATGTAGGGAAGAAGTGAAAGAGCAACTAGAAAAGAAAAAGAAAGGATCCAGGGCTTTGGCTGAGTTTGAAGAAAAGATGAACGAGGTTGGTAATGTTACTACTACGCTAATACTTGATTCTTCTTATCTCATATGCTAATTTTCCTCCATTATCATTAACAGCACCAAATACCCATAATATTTCACTTCATTCAAGCTTTTAATGAGTAAATGTTTTGTTTCATTCGTATTGGAAGTTAAGGTTACCACTTAACCAATGAAAAGCAACTCTCATTTTAGAGAAACACTATATAAAAACTTTTTTTTGCTGCTGAATAAAACCTGAACTTTTCATAAATGTAAATATAGTGATACAAATTCATATGTTTATATTTAATACATGAAACTTGTGTATTTTCCAGTATGGTAAACCAAAGTTTGTTGTGCTAATCTTCACTTGTATAAGGTCACACAATCCAAATATATTGGAAAGAGGTGTATTACTGGAAACAGACATCTTTGGCAAGGAATGCATACATAGTATTAATACAGGAGAAGGCACAAAAAATGGCCTTCAGTATGCAGATAGAACTATAAAGCACTTCTTTCTCTCTCATCCTAAGCCAATTACATTCCATGCTGGTTCCCTACCATAAATGCAAGCTGTTCTGGTGCTTGTGTTCAGTACCTACTGGAGAACAGCATGATATAAGAAAGTTTCACATATAACTTCTCTTGTATACATAGGAAAAAGTTAGTATACAATGAATTTAACTGTTCCTGTTCTTTCTTGGGTTCTGGTATCTTGAGATAAGCTTTAAGCAGTAGTCTTCATTGTTGTGTGTGAGTTTCTGGTTGAAGTAGATTCTGCTCCTCCCTTACTGGAAGGGCATAGTATCCATAGTACTCTTGCTATGCCTTTCCTGTCTAAGAAGTTATGCCACTATTTGGAGGATCATGGGGTGCTGTTCTGAGAGGATCAGTTGTTCTGCACTCTGTGAGTTTTAGCTTGGTGAGTTTGGTTTAGTATTTTATCATACTCCTTTCCTGCTTTTATCTTTGCTTTACTGTGAAATAATTGAAACTGGCACAGATAGAAGATAACAACAACCTTTCAGTAGGGCAGAAGGATAGGGAGGGTGCAAGGAATCGTTAAATGGCCATGAGTTCTTCCTGATGTTCCTAAGAACAAATCTCTGAACGATTGAAAAGATTACAAGTCTCTGAATGAGGTGCTATCTATGCTATTTTATTGGCCGATGTTGTGCTTTTTTGTTTAAAACATAACACTAGCACAACCTTAAAATAATTTAAAGAGAACACCTGCCTAATAAAGCACAGGCTGTTGTTAAGTGGCCCCTCAGGTACCTCTGGGTAGCTGGTATGTCAAAGTGCAGACCCCACTGCAGTACTGCCTAGATGCTACCTCGGAACGTGGAAACACGTTATGCACAGCACTGTATCTTGACTGATCTGCCATGTCTCTGAGCAGCACTGTTGTGCTAGTTCACAGTATGCTGACTTGGGGATCTGTGTATCATATTGCATTGCACAGGTATGATCTTACTTAATTCCTGATATTTCTGTCCCTTCAGCACAGTATGTGGGTTATCATTGTTTTGCCAATATGATACCAGTACAGCTTCAATGTGAGGGAAGGGAGAGTCAGCATAATAATAACAGTAAAGAAAGAAGTGCATGATGTGTCTAGCACAGGAAGCAGGAACAGCACAGATTGACTCTAGCAGCCTTTCATTTTGATGGGGGCGGGTTGGGTGTCTTGGAGCTCTTGAGACGTGGATTTTAGGTAGACTTAGAGAGTTTGTGAGGGATTGAAAAGGAGGAATGAGAGGAGACTTTTATCCATGCAATGTGCTTGGCCTAACAAACATAAGAGCCCAGAACAAACACTAGAGACACCCATACATTGAAGAAGGGCCAGGAGAATTTCTCTTTAAATTCTTCTTAAGGTGATTTTGAAACTTAAACAAAATAATAATATTTCTGGTCAGGTGCCCTAGCTTTCTGAAGTGCTCTAGGAAGAGCACTGTGATACAAAACCAAAAATATCAAAGTTGATGACCTTCCAAGATAAATAACAATCTGTTAAACCCAAACAACTTGAACATTAAGCTGTGAACTAACGTAGTACTTTGATTAATCTTAATCTTCAGTAAAATCAAATGCATTATAGACTTGGTTAGCATTAGATGTTACTTATTTTCTGGCTTTGGTGAAAAACTAGATAATGTCAGGTAGAGGACAAGATTTCAAAAAAATGGAATGACACTCATGTCACTGTTTCTGTTTGGCTTTGTTTTCAGAATTGGAGGAAAGAACTGGAAAAACACAGGGAGAAATTACTGGGTGGAAACGAGAGTTCCTCCAAAAAGAAAGAGGTAAGTTATTTTCAGTTTCATACAGCCTGTTTTTGGAATTCGATTTCTCATTGATGCTGCCAATACAGAATGTCATAAATACATTTTAAAAGCCAGCATCAAAGTACATAAACCTAAATGCATGACAAAAGACCATGATGCCAAAGTAACATTTGTTTTATTCTATTTTTAAGAAAAAGAAAAAGGAAAAGAAGAAATCTAATAGGGTGAGCAAAATTTTCAGTTTTCTGAGTCTTTTTGCTTTGAAGTTGTTCCTATTAGTCATTTAAGTACTCTTGGAAAGAGAGAGTATAGCTGTAATTTTGAATTTAGCTGTTAGATTGACTGATCTCTGTCTGAGAGAGGTGGCTTACATTCTGTACAAGGAGAATTTTACGTCTGCTTAAAGGGAGGAAAACAGCATTATTAAACAGATATTATTAAATGAAAAATGTACAAGTCACTTTTTACAGTTTTATTTAAGAAAATCTATGTAAGACCAGTTTCTTGGAAGTAAAATTTCATTGATAATACTTTGCAAGTAAAGAGATTTTAAAGGAAGTGTTTGGATGAACTTTTGACTATTTGCCAGACAAAATGCTGCATCTCACAAGCTTCACTTTTTGTTGTGTTTGGTCAAGTTGTCTTCATCTTCCTCTTCTTCATCAAGCTCTGATTCTTCCAGCAGCTCATCTGATTCAGAAGATGAGGTAAGAAATAACTTACTAGAATCTAACATATTTAGTTCATGAGACTTATTTAACACAGATTTTTTGGTAATATATTTTAGAATATTGTTTGAGGGTTTGCATAAAACTATTTAGTTTTTATGCATTTGGTACATACAATAAAGTTGTGAATTTTAGATATATATTTGTTCAAGAATTTCTTTATGAACAGTGTAAATATTGAGTGGCTGGCTTGTAAACTGGATGCATTTCTGTTTTAACATTGAATTGTATGCTTTTTCAATAGAATCCCCACCTAATCATAAAGATGCAAACACACTATTTTTACTTTTTAGCAAAAATCTTTGTTACAGATAATTAGATTCTACAGCACACATCTAAATAATAAACAGAATCTAGAGAACCTGGATTTTTCACCAGTTTACATTTTTTCAATGCAGAAGAGTTATGAAGGTCGTCTGCTAAAAGAATCAATTGTAGCATACTTTATTCTTCAAGAGAACATGATAATATGTAGGAATTTGGTGTTCCCTATTCTTCACATTTAATGTAGGTCTTTAATTCTAATGTGAATAAATTCAGGGCTGTGTTTTTCTTTTTTTCCTACAATATTTGTGGACAGGATAAAAAGCAAGGGAAGAAAAGAAGGAAAAAGAAGTATCGCTCCTCACGGAAATCTTCAACAAGCTCAACTTCTGAATCTGAGTCAGACAGCAAGGTGAATATGCAGATGTGTTGCCCTTGGCAAGTTTTCTTGATCTGTGTTATAAAGACATAAACATTTCTGACTTTCGCATACCAATATTCTTTTTATCTTCCGAATTTAGAGCCATGCATTCTTACTGTAGCTTAGCTGCACTTGTATCTCTTCCCGATGCAATCGTGAATCTACCTCACTGGCCACAATGTCTGTCAAAAATAATTTGATCTTTATAAAATTAACATCCTTTATTCCAGCATTTTTTAGTTGTTTCACTGAATTCAGATATATGCAGCTTTTGTGCTGTTCAAATGGTTAGTTTTAATACTACATTGACACTTAAAAAAATAAAATGTGAAATTCTTGTGAATGTGCTATTTAATTGAATGCCATCTGGGAAAACACAAATATTGCAAGATATCAGTGGCCAGAATATTGCCTTTCTAAATATCTGTGCACTGAGTAGTTTCCTGTTGGAGAACTGAGCCTTTCCCAAATACATATTAAATTGAGGGTGTCTTTTTCCTTTTCCGAAAGTAGAGCAGTGTGGGTACTTGAGGCCGACTGAGTGAACAGAATTGTGGCGAAGATCTATGAGGCAATTTGTTCTGTTATGTTAGCATTTTTTTTGTGTTACAGTGGATGGTAACTGTACTCCTTGCCTAATTATTAATAATACAGTGAGTTAAGATTCTGTGTGTAGACTTTACCACAGGAGTACCTAATTCAATGTGGTATAAATTGTGATGAATCACTGTTTGCATACATCTATGAATTTGTGCTAATGGGAGTTTGAAAACTTCTGCTGCATAAGAGATGCCCTTACTGCTGAAATTGGAAGGCAGAAAACTCTGTCGAAATACCTGCTGAACCCCTGCCTGATCAGCAGAGATGGGCATGGATAGAGAATAAAGACTCCAGACTGTTTTATGTTAGACATATGTTATATGTGGTTATGGTAGTGATAGCTGGTATACTTTCCAGAGGCTTTCTATGTGTACTGCAAGTACTCTGTTACCTGAATTCATACGGACCTTTTCACACAGCTGGTTCAGAAAATTAGCAGCTGCATCAAAGTTACACTGTTTTCATGTTTTTTCCTGTTAACTGCAAGACAGAAAGAACAACTTTGAAGAACAACCTTCAATAGACAGAAAAAGACAATGGGTCAGACTACTTCTGGGATTTCAACCTTTTTCTTGAAATAATTTTGTCATGGTTTATGTTTTTCTTTCTATTTAGGACAGCACAAAAAAGAAAAGGTCAAAGGAAGATTATGAAAAAGAGAAGGTATTTTTGTTCTTGAAATACTTGTATCAGAACTGCATTTTACATACATAATAGAGCGCTCTCTCTGTCTCTCTGGTTTTTTAAATTTTTTTTTTAAATAGTGAATGCCTCAATTTACCCTTACAGAAATTTTCTGTCCAAAACTCCAAAGTCAGAAGGTATTCAGTACCCCCAGTTTGAGGTAGACTTTTAGTTGGGTTCAACTCCTGTTTTAGTAATTGTTCTTAGTGGAAACTGCTGGATCTGTATGAATATAAATGCAAAAAGTATTTAATCTGCCATAGGAGATCAGCTGCATTCCAATATTTTGGGTTTTATCTTGAGCAGTCACATTGAGCTAAAAATATGTGATGATGTGATGATATTTCAGTGGTATGCCTGGTAGGATTAAGGAACATCAAGTAGAGGATATATTTATCTAAATGTAGTCATAATTATAAATACTGTACTTATGACAGCTTTGAAAAATTGCAGAGAGAAATGTACTAGCTTAAGAAAAATTACCTTATTCTGTCTTTTCTATGAGAATGAAAACCCTCTCTCCTCTCTACCCATCTTCTACCATATGAGTAGACTAAATATACTTTCAGAGTCCACCCTAGTCTTACTTTCCAGTTACCTTTCTTATCACATCAGCCTCTACTTCTCCAGTCAACAGTATTGACTTACAACTTAAAAATTCTCCATTGCATAAGGCAAATGGGTTGACATTTTTTTTGCCTTTGCTGCTGCTTCTTCCATTCCACAGTTTCCATTTCCCACCAACTCCTTTTAACTTCAAGTCAGTTTTCTTCAAAGACCAAGTGTCTACCATAGCCCCTTATTCTTGGTTAAGCTGTAATGCTACTTTCACACATCTTCTGGAAGCAAAGGGTATTTGGGGACTAGAGTTCTTCCCCTTTCTGAAGATGTCCAGTCTCTCAAATGGGCTGCATCATGTGTACTTTTCGTGAGTACTTTTGGGAAAGGATTGAGGTACCTCTAATTAGACTGAATAGCACAGCTGAGATGTGTGATCCCACCTTGCAAAAAAGATAATTAGCAAGAATTTAGAAATTGAATGGAAGAAAGTAGCTTCAGTTTTAGGAACACCTTACCTGGTCAAGAGCAAAGGGGAGGGGTGGGCAGCAGGAAGTAGCTCATCAGAGCAATCTCATGCAGCATCAAAATTTTAAAAATGAAATTTAAATATACTGAGATTGTATATGGAGTGTTGAAGTGCAGCTGGCAAAGGCAGCTTGTCCTGGTTGGACACAAATATAGAGGGAGCTTTTTCTTCTAATTTCATCAACGAAGCAAGAGTCTGAAGCGGCAGTGCCTGTATGCACATATTGAGACATCTTAATTTACTCAGTAGTATTTGAAAGTGGTGAAACATTTTATTTTCAAGTGCTTACTCCTGCATATAATAGATTATATTGTAGTATTCTTCCTCTCACTTTTAGAAAGCTGCTGTATCTTCTTGAAAAGAGAAAGGAATATACAGAAAAATATTACTTCCACTAAAAGTATTTTAACAGTTGGTAGGGTAATTTGTTGATGATGAGTAATTGGTTTAATGTCAACAATATTTAAAAATATTTCACAACTTAGAAATAATATTTCAAAGTTTTAAGCAAAAGTTTTATAAAATTTGAAAGGCCTGACTTAACTCACAAATATATTACTTTGTGTAGGAAGGCAAAAGTCACCACAGGAAGAGGAAGAAAGCCAATCGTGGTGATGGACCTTTATCATCAGAATCCTTGTCAGAATCTGATCAGACAGAGGAGGTCAGTGTGAAACCTCAATTTCAGATGTTATAATGCTTTTAGCTTACTGATTCACATGAGTGAATGAATGAATTAACTTAGATTTACTATATTGTTGAATCTGTTCTGCTCTGTACAGTTGAATTTAACAGTACAGCCCATTGAAAGTTGTTTGTATTTTTCTCTTTAGTAAAAACTTTCAGTAAAATTGTTTAGTACAGCTTCTGTCTCCTGCAAGTCATTTTGAATTCATTTTCTTGGACATTTTCAACTTGTTATGGATATTTTAGACCTCCATGAAATGAGACTAAGTGATTGGTGGGATGTCCTTGACGAGACTTCTCTCTGATGTTTGTGAATAGATTAATAGATTTTAAGATGGCTAAAAATTTTTGGCTCCCTTTTCCAGTGAATTAAAAAATTTTGGACATAATAATCCTACTCTCACCTTGGTGTATATCTACTTGGAGGATTTGTGTTCTTGGAGGATTACAAAGTTTGGCACGGTTCCAATGTGTTGCATTTTTTTCATTAAGAATTGTTATCACATTATTAGTTTAGTAATTTTGCCTTTATATCTCTGCTGTTTCTTATTCTGCTGTGTATTAAAATTAGAGCGTGTTCCCAAATCGGGTCTTTATAGGTTAATGCATATTGTAGAATATAACACAGATAACCAGCATTTCTTCATGTTTTACTGTTCAGTATGTTCTACCACTGTTGTGCCATCATTCATTTATATGCAACAAAAGCTCAAACTTTTCTTCAAAACAGCATTTCCAGAGCTGCTCTCCCATTCCATTTGATTTTCTTTTTTTTTTTTTTTTTAGGTGCAAGCAAAAAAGAAGAAAAACAACGAGGAAAAAGAGAAAACAGCAAGTATCCTTCTTTACTCATACTGTAGTTTTAGGATATAAATACTCTGTACTTGGTTAATTTCCAATTTCACATTTTCCAGTAAATACAGATGTTTAATGATACTCATTACACATTTTCCATGGAACGTGTTTATTTTTTCATAATCATATAAGCTATTTGCCATAAAATTTGTAGTGACTAATTGTGGGATTTTTTTTCTTAGAAGAGCTGTGTATTGAAGTAATATGTATGAAACAAAGCTTTTATACCAAGATTGTTTTGTTTACATAATGTCACACCTATTCAAGAATTCCATTTGAAATTCTGCTTGCAAAAAAGACAGTTTGTATCTCGGCTTCTGTATTACAGTGATCAGGATAACTTCAGGACTGAATCCAGTAGTATTAATTGAGTGTATTCATTTTTACAGTTGAGATCATAATTGTTTTATTTTAAACAAGGTGCAAGTGCTGGAGATTCTAGCCAAGTGTAGTTAACTATTTAATTTTGCATAGCAAATATAAGCACTTACTTTAAAATCTGTAAACATCCTCGCTATTCTCACATATATAAGATGTCACTGCTTATCAAAGCACTTCCTTATTACTTTCTCAGAAACCTATAAAGCACTGAAAATCATTTAAAATACTAGGAAATGTAATAGTGACAGTGATGAGAGGTGTGAAATAGCCAGACCATGATGGAAATAAATTGAAGACTGCTCATAGTAGTGCAAATTACTGGGTGAAATACGAATTTTCTTTTTGTGATTTCTCAGTAGGCTTTTATAGAAATCTCTTTTGAATTGTCTTTGTAAAGATAATTTCCGTGCTCTGTTTTTGCATTAGGAGAATTTAATAGATGGCAATTTTCTCATACAATAACTTCTATTTAATTTTACTGTTTTTTAGGATAAAACAAAAAAGAGAAAGAAGCACAAGAAACATGGCAAAAAGAAGAAAAAGAAGATTGCTGGTTCTAATTCGAATTCGGAATAACATTTTAAAAAAATGAGACTATCAACAGAAGTGCAATGAGTAAAGGAAACTTAAACTGTGAAATGACAGCAAACTTTACCAAACTGCATGAGTTTTCCTGTGTTTTAGAAATATTCCTTATCTTTCAGTAGCCAGCCAGATGCAGCTGTGCTGGGAAAGAGCATTGTTATTGCCTGCTGCTTAATACATGAGGTACAACTTTTATAAAATTCCAGTAAGCAGTGTTAGATGTTTGAAACAGTATGAGATGGTGGTCCAGCTGAGGTGTAAAATATTGGAAAGTAAGAGTTAAACTTTTTAGATAGTAAAAGTAGTCTTTTAAAGCATTAGTAATAGTCTTTATTTGTAAATCAGGACAAATAAAATCCCAAGTTTATCCTGCAGGTTAATATTATACATAAACTATTACAAGCTGGTGTCTGCTAATGGCGTTTACAAAATGGGAAATAATGATAACATTTAAAACGCTGCCTTTGTAGAAATGTTTATGATCTGCCCCATTACCGTCTTTGTGCTTATGAGAAAGGGAATGCTACCATTTTGGCTAACTGAATAGGGTGCCTTTGCCTTTGATTCTTGCAAATCTCTGCTATTTTTAATCCATGCAGCATCTCTGATCCTAGGGAAGCCAGAACTATTGTCAGCAGACTTTTTCTGAATAAGCAGTTCTGGGCTTCTGAGCATGTGCTTCTGCATTAAGCAAGAGCAATGACATTTTGCAGTATAACTGACATTCAAAACCTGAAGATTTTACCTCTGCTTCTTTGAAATAGCGATAGATCTTTGCTAGTAAATATGTGTATTTCATTTATTGTAATTTTGGTTTAGTTGAACACGTCTTGCAAACACTGGTAGCTTTCTTTGCATTATCTTTAGAATTGTTTTGCATGATTTGTACCATTTTTAAATTAATGAAATACAGGTAATAATTTGTTGTAGCCGGTTCTATGAATTACGTTCCACGTACAGAGTTTCATGTATGTATTTAGTTATTCTTATAGTTAAGTTCATTGCTGTATTTAAGTGCACACTTGCTGAAGATATTTAGCATGTAAAAAGCAGGGTTTTGATACCTTAACAGCTTCATATTGAAGCTGATTTTACTCTTAAGCAAGTTTAGTGGCAGGTCTGTTACGTGATGTGTCTTGCTAGATTAAAAAAAAACTACTGCCAGAATCTCATTAAAGATACTGTTTAAACAGTTTGTATTTATATTTTTGTACTTGAGGGCTACAGAATGTTGACCTAAATCATAGAGCTGTTTTACTTTAAATTAGTTGCTTTCAAAATTGAAAAAAAGCTTTTATAAATTAAATGTACACATAAAAAACCCCAAGCAACCATTCAATTTTAGTATTTACATTAAATTCTCATTGTGTCTTCCATTGAAGTACCCATGGCTGGGCCTCCTGTTAGCCTTTAATAACTGCCCATCCATCTCGAGTGGTCAACTATAGATTGTACTCCTGAGCCACCCCTTTTTTTCATTGCACAGGTGCTAACTTAGAATTTACCTCTGTTGCATACAGATGTTTCAAATATTGTATTGCCAAGAATTTCAAGACCTTTCGGACCTGGATTATTAGTCTGCAAACCATAACTAAAAACTGAGGGAGAAAGATGATTTTGTGTTGCCATTCTACAGAGAAATTGACTTCAGGTTAAGTTCTTGGGAAAATACAACCCTTGAGTTGCAGCAGTGTCCCTCTAAACCATAGTAAAAATATTTTGATCAAATATTTTATACTGTTGGGCTTGATGTTACTGATTCTAGACACTGTTCTGTCAGTGAGGTTGAAACAAAGGCAAGATGCAGTAGAACAGTAGGGGATTGGTTTGGGGTTTGTGTTTGGTTTTGTTTGGCTTACTTTCTTTTTAAGTTGTGATGTTGCAGCTTTGATAAAAGAACTTGTAACGAACCATGGCATAAATGCTCTGTCCTGTGTGATACCTTATTTGACTTTCACACAACTACCTGCGACAGAAAGAAATAAAAATGGAAATGAGAGCCCCAGTCTTCCAAATACATAAGCCGGTATGTCATTTTAATTGTCTGAGTAGAACTGTTTGTTCTGGTCAGCTGGGTGTGCCAAAGCTGCGGGCACGCTTTGGAAGTGGCGTAGCCGCTTGAAGGGGCTTCTGGGCTTTGTCAGTTCACAGCAATGCTGCTTTAATACCAACAAGGAAATGTTTCTGTTTCCAATACACCAACAAATACGTTGAGACTCCTTTTGCATCCCCTCTTTTCCTGAAGGAAGAGTAAAGTGTGGTCACAACCCTTCAGCTGTCCCAATTTGTACAGGCCGGGTACGTGAGAAGCTGGGGGGGTTCAGGTGGCAGCAGGCAGCCTACAGGCATGTTCTGCAGTGGAGCGAGGTAGAAAATGAGCAGTGTGAGGATAAAAGTATTGTAATAGATGTCTGTGTTCAGACAGCAGGTGAACAGCGAGCATTGTATGTAGTAAGTACTTTTTAGCCGTTCTTTACAGAAACATTTTTAGAAGTTTGCAATTCAGTCATTTTCTTTTATACAACTGCTATTTTTTTAAGGTGTGATAAAAATTTCTGTTTCTTAGGGATATAGATATATTTATGAGCTGCCGTGTCGCCGACCGGCTCCGCC